TCCACTGGCATCTTGTGGCGGAATCTACTTCACTAGCACCTTTAGATCAATTTTTATATAAATGTGAGTAGAATCACAAGGATTGACGGGCGTATCATTAAATATCCGAAAGATCGCGCGTGGCCACCCGCTCTCACATACGTAAACAATCTCACTGACTTCCCACGGTCGCTGTCGACTGGCCGCGTCCAGGAATTATTGCCACACGGAACAATTCTCTCTTTATTTTACTCACCTACATAAATATATTCTTGAAATTTGAATGCGCTTAACTATAAATATACACACTAAATGCCAAATTTAAATATATCATGCGATGTCATTCGATACAGCGTTGCAAATCCGTGCAAGTTTAACAAGAATCTTGCGGCGTGTATCGACTTACTCCAGTCTCGCCCGGAACGAGAGGGGCGAGGAGCGACGAGAGGGCGGGGCGTTCAAATCTCCTCCTCAAGCGACGCTCACAGCCTTACTGTACCGAGTAAATTTATCACTAAACGACTTTTAATCATAGAGCATTTTGACCTGATTAAATTTCAATCTTTTAATTTAAAATAAAAAAATAATGACAAACTTTCTTAACTTTCCCAAAACAAAACAAAAATCAATGGCCAATTACGTACCTGATAATGTCACCTGAAGTCCATTAACTCGGTAATTACCCTCCAAAATCATTAGATATACGCATATTATGAGGTACATAATATTTATGCACGTTTCTGAGCACAGGATGTTATTCATTAATTTCCTATGTTACCTATACAATATTTTTCAAGTCAGCGAGTGCTAAGTACAATACTGTAAAATAAATACAGGCTAACTAATGTCATTCATTACTCTGATAATATAAGGTGAAGCTGAAACCTTGTAAATATAAACTAGAATAACTAAAATTATTACTGATAGCCAGAAGGAACGAATGATATTGAAAGTTTATTTAGCCAGAAAAACACAGATACAGAGTGGATAATAATAACAATATTAACATGGCTGAGCCAGTTGAGAACCTGAGCTCTCTTTGAGGCACCTGATATATACTATACATTTATCTCAAGGAAGTATTATGTAACATTTAGTATCATCTGGAATAGTACAATAGCATGGTGGTAATAAGTACATATCAGAATGTTACCACGGTTATCACTTCGATATTTATTTATTTTATTTATTTTTTACATTTATATTACAAGTATATACATATTCTACAGTGGTGTTGATATACATAAATATGATAAGGGAGGCAAGCAATACAACATGTGTAGTATAAAGGTGGAACAAGAGGACAGAGCTGTTAGACAGACACAGACAGACAAGTACCGAGACAAAAATATAGACTGAACTATAGACAGACACATTGAGGGACAGAGAAAAAGGGGACACACACACAAACAGAAAACGATGATGAAAATATAGACAGACAGAGATAGATAATAAGACAGACAGACAAACAACAAAATACCCCCCCCTCCAAAAAAAAAAATATGCTAGAGAGAGAGCGAATGGGGGAGGAGGGTGAAGGTAACCGGGGAGAGAACGACGGGCTAAATTATCCAATATTGCATCACAGTTTATAACACCGTGTTTACGATTCGTTATCATTCCATTTCATAAGGTGTTAGTATTATTATTTTGTTTCGTTACTATTAAGGGCATTGGAGAGAGAGAGAGAGAGAGAGAGAGAGAGAGAGAGAGAGAGAGAGAATGTGTGTATTTTAAAGCGAGAAAGAAAGGGGATCCGGGGAGGGGTGTGTGTGTGTGTGGAAATTTCAGTGGTAGGAGGGTATAATAAAGTAAGCGCTGCACATATACACACGGTTCACGATAACATGAAACGCTTACTCCCTCTTGGCCGAGAGAGAAAGATCAAAGTGAAATGGTCATGCATATTATTTCGCTCTGATGAACTTGCTATACGGTTTGTTAGGTCCAAATTTACAGTTCAGATTATAAAACATTTAGGGAAAAAGAATATATATACCGTGCACGTTTCAATATACAGTATTTATACATAGATTAAATTGATAACTCAGGGAGGCAGATAGATAGTTAGTTAGAAAGAAATGCACAGACAAAGATATAGACAGACAAATAGAGATGCACAGACAGACACAGATAAATACAGATAGACAGGTAGAGACAGGCACAAAGACAGACAGGTTCAGTCCGTGTTTGGAGATTCAATAATGTTAATTAAAGAAATTAATAATCTAAATAAAACAATATTGGTTCATGATTAATTCAGTAATAATAATGATTGACTTTTAGTTAGTTACGTCAGACTCTTATTCGCTGAGAGCCATGATGATTGTGTCTAATTATGAGTCTTGGATCACTTCAAGATTAGGTTAGGTTGGATAAGGTTAGGTAAGGTCAGGCTAGGTAGAGTTAGGTTTGGTTAGGTAAGGTAGGGTTAGGTTTGGTAATGTTAGTTTGAGTTAGATTGTAATATTATTTAAGATTAGGTTATGTTAGCATATTTACATGCCTAATCAACCCTCAACACTGGTTAGTTCTCAATTAGTTTGTCTAGGACTCTGGGTACAAGGCACTTTAAATATAATTCTTATATAACACACTATTGGAACACTTTATAAAATATTAATAGATGATTTTCTCAGCCAATTGTGTTCCTACAAACGCCTCCATTGTCTGCACACTTGCAAGCTCCAGTGCATACGAGATTCCCCTTCATGCAGGTGCAATTGTGCGAGAAGCTTCCCTTTGTTCATCCACAGGAGACAATATCCATCCACGGCTCGGGAATGGAGGAAGTAATACAAGCCTTGGTACCATCTTTCATTCCCCCGTTTACGGTTGGAGGTGAGAGCAGGACTCGCCTTGGTATACAGTACTGTACTACTGAATACATCGTTGTGTATAGATTGTGGAAGCCTCCGAGACGATATACTTCTGGAGACATGCATTTGGAAAGCTATTTAAGGGCCTCGGATCAAGATATACGAAAACAAAAAGTTTAAAAATATCCCTAAAATAAAAAGTGTGAAAATGTTCCTGAAATGAAAAGTGTGAAAATATTTCTAAAATAAAAAGTATGTCAAAATATTACTAAAATTCGTTCCTGGTGTGCGTGTACTGTAGTTTAACGCAGCAACTTGCAAGCCTCGGGTACACTACAACTTAAAACAAACTTTTCTACAGCCCGGAACCCACGTAGCGTTAACTTTTTTATTATTATTATTTATAAATTTTACAATCTACATACACTGCATACACAAATATTACATATTAACATATTTGTAAATGAAATATTTGGATGACTTTTCTTTTAAGATACACTTGATCAGTGGCGGCTCGTGAAAAATAAAATGGAGGGACTGCAAGCCTCACACAACAGTAGGATACACAAATTTGACCTACCTCAGGTATGAGTTGTAGTTGATGTCCACGAATTCCCAGGGCATGGTAGTAGTGTTGGTGGTGATGGACCAGTATTAATTGAAAATAAAGTCGGCGTGTCTGCTCTTCGGTGTAGCAAAATTGTTTATTACTATTTCATTAAAATCCTTTATTTCTGTTATCATTTTATTTTCAATGGATATCACTGCTAAAGCAGACAGTCTGTCATTCACTGATGTTAAACTGGCGTGTATATTCTTTGTTCCTGCTTGTACTGTTCTGTTGAATGGATAAAACTGGTGTAGGTCTTCCTCTTGCTTTGATTTCAGTCTTTTCATTTAATGTCAGCTGGGAAAAGTTGATGTTTTGCAAATACTTCACTCGATTTTCCATCGTCAAAGGGTAATTAAAGAAAGCACGATTTAACCACACCGTCCACACGTTGTACGAGACTGAGCTGCTTCAAGTGCGGCGGCGGCGGCCAATTAATAACAGACATGAATCGTACAGCATTGACAGCAACTATGAAAGTAACTTAAATTTTGGTCTGATTTTAATGAAAATTCACTTAGCAACGTATTGAAAATAATTAAATAACATATAAAATGATATATTTGTTGGTAGTGTATTATTCAGCTGTCTCTCTAAAGGAATCATACGCCTGGCAGTGAGTGTCTGGGGGACTGCAGCTCTGCAGCCTATGCACGAGCCGCCACTGCACTTGATCATCCATTTATTATAATATAGTCTGCCTTTAATAAAGGCTATAGTCTTCTTCACATTATAATTTTCTTTCCTACTTAACCACATACAGTAAATATAATCTGACATTAGCATGATCATTGTATTCTTATCCTTATTATCACTACAGATAATATTAAACATTAAGAAATGCAGAAATAATTTGCTATTGACATTGCAGACTGTATTCAGGAGATTTTTAAACCATTTAATTATCTCTGTTATGGAAACAAGTAAAATACATGTAATGGATATTCTACGGGAATTAGCCCACCCGGGCACAGGTCAAACGACCCACAACGAGGCCTGAGGGGCGAAAAAACAAGAACAGAAAGAAATTGAAAATAGGGAAGAAAAAGGTTATACTGTGTTAATCTACACCACGAAGATGCCGGAAAACCAGCTTTTTAAAGTGAGACAGATTGTATAAGTATGGAAACAGAAGGCAGAGCATTCCACAGTTTGGCTGTGTGAGGAAAGAAGGAGTTACTATAACGGGTTATTCTAGTGTGACCGACATCCACAGACTTGCATAAAATTGTGATATATTTGTAAGACACTGTACTGTACTGTACTGACATTTTATATTGAGTGTAGAAATTCTTAGACAATTTGTAAAGTTTACCCTCCTTTATTTTACATTTTCTATCAATGTCAGTGTTTACGTTTACATGCTATGCCCAACTTGAGATACTTAAGAAAATTCGATGAAGCCATCATATCAAGTTTACATGAACGACTGACATATTTAAAATAACAAATTTATCAGTTTGAATGAATAGTCTTCATTGAGGTCTAGCTTGGGCCATCCTCATCCTGTCTTAAGATGGATATTCCAAGTTGGGTAAAGATATATCAATACAGTACAGGCTAAAATTCAAAACTCGTATAAAGGAAGAGCAAACTGTATGTGCTCCGTACTATATATTACAGCCCTGATTTGATTCATTAAACACCCATACAGTACAAGCATACACATATTACATTTACCGATGATATTTGGGTTATCTATTAGGAGGGGTGTTAGTGTTACATGTAGTATGGTAACTGAGAACAGCACTACCACAAGAAGGAGTTTTTCGATTTCGTTAATTTTTTTCACTCTGCCAGAACACTGAAAGTACAGTACGTGGTTGAAGCAGCCGCCACCTTCCTTGGTTGTTTGGAAAGAAACCTCTACGGTTACGGTAGCAGAGTAGAGGTTGCAACCATTGCAAGCGGCAGAGGTTGCAACCTTGACTAGCCAGGAAGTGAATCACCTTCACGAGGACCATCACGTTAAGGTCAAATTCAAATCGCGTATAAAGGTAAACCTTTACATATTGTCACAACCTGATCATTTCATACAGTACAAACGTGTATATGGTAAAATTATCCTTTTGGTCATCCACCTATTTGAAATAAGGTCAGGTTCGTTCAAGACACACCCAAAACACCGGAAAAACATAATTTCAACCCAACCTAACCTAACCCAACCTAACCTAAACGTAACCTAGCTGGATGACCGAAATGATAATACCGTATACAGTATATAAACATTTGCCGAAGATGTGTGGGTTAGGGAGCACAGTACGTATGTTACTTTATTCACAACCTTTGTTCAAAACCAATCACACAGCTGACAATGTAAGTGATGCCATTGTTGTTAAATAAGGTAATATTCAATGGCAAAATGTATATTTTCTAAACAAGTATTTATGACCAGTGTGACTTAACATTAGGTAATGGTGGAGGAGGCATTTAGTAGCAGAAAAAACTTAAGGAATTCTACCCAATTTTGTGGAGATTCTACAGTATTTGCATGATACTTAGGTAATGTATTGGTAAGTTGTTAAATTTTGCTAATTTTTGTCTACAATGTTCTTATCATTGTAGTTAGTATCTTAAAAGAGGCGATATTTACTAGAACCAAATAGATCCTGACCTAACCAACCAAAGAAACCTGCCTACCCTTATCTGGTACAGTTTCGGAAATGTGTTCCTACCACCGCCTGTGGTAACCCGTCTCCAGTGGCGGACTGGGTCAAAAATTTCTACCGGGAAAACTTGTAAAAGGGCCCACTCAAAAGTTTCAGGTCGCATTGGTACGGACTTAGTAATGTCACATTCGGTAGCATTAGGGTGGATTGAGTTAATATCTCATAAACCTCATATCTCTTTATTTCTTTTTTCCGTTATTTCCAAAGTGATGGATCATCACTGGGGCCCACCGGGAAATTTCCCGGTATCCTGGTGGGCCAGTCCGCCACTGCCCGTCTAACCAAACGGCCAACCTAAATGACCTATAGCAAACCTATCCACCTATCACGTCCATCGTTACATGACCAATACCCATTCATTCATAAATAGTGATACTACGACTGCAATGTTGCCATTTGGAGACATGGGTTACCACAGGGGGTGTAGGAACACATTGCCACAACTGTACAAAAAGTAGGAAAAACACTATTGCACCACACATTTCTTTTTATTCCTGAGATGAGGAAAAAAAAAATTATAGAAAATTTCCCTGAAGTGACTCCCTCCCTAACAAATAATATACTGTACTGTACTTGCATCTTAGGAATATATCTTTCAATGTATAGGTTTTCAATTTACAAATGTTTTTTCTGGAATGCAACCCTTCTATAAATTGAGGTCGACCAGTCTGTACAGTACTGTATATACTGTATACTGGAATGTATATACTGTATTCTGTATGCACATCATTTTAATTTATTTTCTTCTAATAACAATTGATAGTTTTGCAGTTAACAAAATGCAGGCAGACAGCTCTTCAGAGACCAAATTTGCTGGACAGACACAAACGGCAAAAGCTATGGCAAAATTTGGTGATGATGATGGCATCAGTGACACCTTTGCAAATATGGCTGTTGGGTAAGTGAACAGTATTTCAAATTCTTTAACTTTTAGTAAATCCTCCATTAGTAGTTGCACTGAGCTACTGGTAGTCAATTTACCCACTGAGTGATACAGGGCTGCTGGGACCTCGTGGTTAAGTCATTTATTGATTTTAATTTTTTAATTACTATATATTGTACAGATATTCATACAATATTTACTTGCAGGGAATGTGACTCCAAGAGGACCAGCTACATACCTTGGGATGAATATTTTATGGCTGTCTCATTTTTAACTGCCATGAGAAGTAAGGACCCCTGCTCACAAGTTGGGGCATGTATAGTTAACAATGAGAAGAAAATTGTTGGCATTGGATATAATGGCATGCCCAGGGACTGCAGTGATGATATATTGCCATGGAACAAAGAATCTGAAGATCCTCTGTGTACCAAATATATGTATGGTAAGTTATACATGTTTTACCTGTCTTGATAATTCCAGTAAAACTTGGTTAGTTAAAATCGCACACCAACGCCATTGTATTTCACTGCCGATTAGAAATAGTCCTAGTTAAAATGTATTTCACCCAGATATCTGTTGCATCATCTATTCTTATCTGTTGGATTTAGATGTTGGAGAAGACGTCTCCATACAGTAGAGTGCAGTACCATGTAATCACTGTGTCTGCCGTAGCTGTCTTCATTGACTAAAGAGTGTAAATATGAATTTTTTTATGTAGAAATATGTTGATATAGAGAGAATTTGTGATCTAAAAATCCTATATTCGTTTGTCACTGTTGACACTTACATCTTATATTTTATATTAAGAAGTATTTACTGTGCTCATCCGAGCAGCTTCCTTGAGGACACCGAGAAAAGTTGTAAAGCCTTTGAAAGTTTGTAAACACTAAATATCTTTGAGTGCAATGCTATTGTCTTTATATTTAAGGAATATAAACATTTTCATGAGGACTAATTGGGGGAAGTCTGTCCGGTTTAGCCAAAATACTGGGTTGGGCAGAGGTCCATATTGTCTATAATGCATGGTAGAAAATTCCAAGTCAAACTGCCTGAGAACACCAAACCTTCTATAATTTTTAGCCTAGATGTAACACTCAGAGTTTCTATACAGTATGTCATATGAACGTTTTATCGCTGCTTGGGGTTTTAACATTTGTATAAAAAAAATCATGAAAATTGATTTCCCATCATGTATAGTGTTCAAATATTTCTTTAATGATGTTCATTGAAACAGACTTGTAGAGAATTTATTCAGGATCATTATGGTACCAAATTAATCTTTCTAACAATTAGAACAGGTGCTGTGGTTAGAAGTTTATACAGTTTTTCACTAGCCATAAATATTTTTGCCCGTGGCCGTGGCCTAATGTATGGGAGAGTGATAAGAGAATCATACATAGTAGAAAAGTGTTTCTTATGGCATACATTATAACATTATAATACACCTGGTGAGTTATCCTCCTGTGCCAACAGTGTTAGCCCCACTTACACGAACTTTCCTCTGTACTAACCGGATTTTGATAAAATTTTCCGGATTGTGGATAGATATGTCCGGTGCTGGACTCCAGTCTGGTTTACAAGGGGATCCAAATTAAGATAGTCCAGGTTAGAGTGAGTTTACTGTACAAATACAGTTACCTGTATATAGTAGATGTTAACAGACTTTTTTTTTTTTCCTTTTACAATATACTTGTACTGTACAGGTACGTATGTTTAAACATGTATTTTATTAGTTATTTAGTATGCTTCAATTTGTGTTTATAATACATTATATTTTCTAAAGTTAGTTTTATCTTGTTTTTTTGTTATGGTTTTGTTATGTTACTTTAATATTTGTTAAAAGTTAATTGTCTAAGGTTTCTTTTAATATTCAACAGTTTGTCATGCTGAAATGAATGCCATCATGAATAAGAATAGTTCAGATTTGTCTGACTGCACTATCTATGTTGCCCTGTTTCCCTGCAATGAATGTGCCAAATTAATAATTCAAGCAGGGATCAGAGAAGTAATTTTTTTCTCTGATAAACATTCTCAAAAGCCAGTTACTATCGCTAGCAAGCGCTTGTTGGACATGGCAGAAATTCTGTACAGGTATGGTAAAACTGAAAGTTTTAATTTGTAGCTCCATAGAATATTTTATAATTTCACTGTGATTCCTGGAGACTCATGCATTTGCCATTAGATTTACATGTTGGAATCCCAGGTTGACCCTCAGCACTGATGGCAGGCACTAGTCAGACAATTAGTAATTCCCTCCCTTCAAACCATCGCATCTTAAATATGAGACTAGAAATGACAGTTACCACTAAAGGCTGTGGGAAGACGAGTACCAGATTGACCTGTAAAGCCTTTCCTTCCATTGTTTACTGTGGGTCTTATTGTATTACTGTACCAGTGCATTACCAAGCACCAGTCTAATTGCTGAACTGCTTCTTTGGTTAGTGACAGTTTGACAGTTCTGTACCCAGAGTAAGGGGCACCCCCCTATAAATTTTAGCACTTAAGGCAGAGTTGGCCAATTTAAACCAATGGTTTAACCTGTTTTTGTTTTTGTTTTTTTTAGTCCATGGTATGACCCCAAGTGCCAAAATGCATGGTCAGGCGTGTTTTTGATGTCATACGACATTTTTGGGGGAAAGTGAAAACTTATGTGCTTATACTGTATACCCGGTAGTAAAGATATTCTATATCTTTAAGGAAATATATGTAAAGGTTATTTACAACTTACAGGCACAGCATAATTGACTTTTTAAATATTCTGTAGTACAGTATACTGTATCTTTAATTATTTCAAAGGTCATTTATTAACACTAATTACTGGAATTTTTAAATTGTGAACCCAGATCTTTAATCAGCATGTAAAATAGCACCTCTGTATGAAGTCTGTTGTTAGATCAATCCTCACTTATCAGTGATAGTGTTTTCTGGGTCTCAATGCAGCAGGCAATGTTGTGTGCTGTTTCATGGGTCAAGAAGTTTTATGATCACTCCAACGTTTACCATTGAATTACAATAGAACCCCAAAATACACAGGGTTGAATTCTTAGGGCTTCCTAATAGTACAGGCACTGATTTCATATATTTTTTAACTAAATAATATGTAAAAGAAAACAGGATTAGATTTTCTAACTAAAAAAAAATGAATACTTAATAGATACTGTGCATAATTTTGTATAGTTAAAAAAATTAAGTTAGATTGACCTTTGAGGGAACCCTGAGGCTTCGTGTACAGTATTGTAAAGGTAGATTTTGTTCACCTGCCTGTGTGACCATAATTGACAAGTTTACTCTACATAGTCAACACCACTGCATTTACCATACAGTATGTGACTTTAGGGTCTTTCTTGTAAATATGTTAACATTGTCTTCACTTTGTTTTACATCATCCTTTTCTAAAAATATCTGTACTGTATGTCATTTAATTTCATAGTTTGTAGCATTTATAAGGAGAGGGACTAATATTTACATAAATATATCTCATTATAACTTTCCTGTGTTATGTACTGTAATGGTTTTATTATATCACAAGGACAGTTAATTGGAATACCGTATGTGGAAGGAAATATATTCATGGCATGAATCTAAGATCACTATTACTTTATGCTTGGGGGTTTGATATCTACTTAATTGAAAAATGATATAAAGAATTTTATTGAATTTGTATGTTTTTTTTTTTTTTTTATGATTGAGAAATTGATGGGAATTGAAATTAGTATTTTTCTTAAGCTTACTGAATTTGTAATTGGTCTTTGTTTTTCTTCTTTAGGCAATATGTACCAACTCAGAAGACCATAAAGATAGATTTTGGAGTAACATATCAAGCCGAACAAAGTGACGCCAGTAACCAAAATGGCAGTATTTCACCAGCGACTCCAAGGTAAAATACATTAAAAGTTTTGTAACTAAACTAAACTAAATTACAACAATTTGTGTCAAACTTGAATTTTTTTTTTGAGATATCCCATTGATGTTTATGGCAGGGGTTGGCAACCTTTTGAACACACTGTGCCAGGTTTTAATATTTCTACTGCTCTGGATGTCAACTATAATTTTCAATATGCAAATTATTGTCATGTGTTTATTGATAAATAATGCTTTCATACATATTTGAAATACACACAATAACATATGAATGGTAAGATATATAATCAAATACTATAAAATGCTCTTACCATTGAAGAATGATCCCTGTCCCTGCTTCCCTTTGCTCAGCATTGCTATGTCGGGAGTATATCTGGACACCTTAAGTTGCTCACGCTCCTCGGAGAGATCATTTGTACGTCGGCTGCGATGAGGATTGAGGATATCTTCATGTGTGAAAATATCTGCTCACATAGATATGTTGATCCAAAGGTTGAAAGCAGTGCGAAGGCAAACTTCTTCATGCAATCAAATTGCTCCGGTAGGGATGCCCAACTGCTTAGGAAGGAGGCCTCGTGATCACTCAGTCGTTTCAAGTGATTTACGTAGTTCCTTGAACTTTACTACCTGTAATGAAGACGACTTAAAATTTATCAACGCCATCTCCAGGTCCCCAATTTCCATCCACTCAAATAAAGACAAGTCCAGGTCACTCTCCTAAAAGTTTTCAGGTTTAATTAAAAAGGAAAACATTGGGCCAATGTGCTGGAAATCTTGAAATCTGACAGAAAACTGACTTTAGTTCTTGCATGCACACTGCAATCTCTGTAACATTCACAGGATGATGTGCTGACCACCCCTTCAGGTGCTTGAAGTAGCGGAAAGTTGTAGTTTTAATATCCACCAAGTAAACTGCCAGCTTTGCAACAAAAGCCTTCCAAGTGTCATACAGATCCACAACTGTTTGTCCTGCAGGCAAAGATTAAGGTCACTGGGGTGTTTGGTGATGTCTGAGAGAAACATAAGTTTCACTACCCAGTCTTCATCTTCCTTTGGGGTATTTTTGGCTCTTTTCTTTCAGAAAGATCCTGATTTCATCAAAGCATTCCTCAAACCATTCTAAAACCTTCCCGCAACTTAACCACCTAACACTAGAGTAAAGGGGTATGCCTCCATATGCACTATTCATCTCATCAAGAAATGACTGGAGTTGTCTGTGTGTAAGAGCAGATCGTGCAACTAAATTATTATTCAAAATTTTTGTCACAGTGGCCATTACTTTATTGAGATCAGAGTTTGAAATTCTGGCAAACAGATTTTCTTGATGAATAATACAGTGTAACTTCAGGATGGGGTGCCTGATTTTATCCTCAATTAGCTTGGCAAATTCCCTGTGTTTTCTTACGATAGCAGGAGCGCCATCCATTGTAACTGCAAATATTTTTTTTAATATTAACCCCTCTCTCCTCAAAATGATCAATGAACGTTTTAACAATGTTATCTCCCTTGGTAGTACCACACATAGGTCTTAGACAGCACAGCTCCCCGTGTACCTCCGTGTCACTGTACCTGGCGACAATAGCCAAACGTGGTACCGGTATGTCATATCAACACTCTCATCATCAGCAATACTAAACACAGTTGCATTTGTTAATGGAACAGTTTGCTGTTCTCTTATATTTGCAGCCATGTCTGATATGTGCCTCTCTACAGTCCTGGCTGCAAAAGGCATGTCTTTTATCCTTGAGATGAGTGTGTGTTTGTTTGGTAAATCACTAAATAAAACTTGAGAGCTGTTGAGAAAGGCTTCCTTTAAATTATCCCCATCAATAAATGATTTTCCATGTTTAGCAATACATAGAGACTCTTTGTAGCTGGCCTCAGTTGGATGATCTTTGTTTGCACTCAGATTCTTCATAACGCTACATTGTTTTTCATAGTGGGATGCTGCCTTCTTAATTGCTTCAGCCTTGTCTGCATTGTCCTTAAATGTCTTCTCATGCTTCGTTTCATAATGTCTCTTTACACTTGATGTCCGGCAAACAACATTCATGCAAAACAGAGCACACACAGCTCGACCTTTCTTTAGAATAAATCCGAAGTCTTTTGTCCAAGAGGGTTGAAACGATCAAACGACTAATTTGGCTTTCTTGGCAGCTGCCATTGTGGCTACTTAATTATGAGTAGCTTCTGTCACCACAGTTGAAAGTACACTGACTGTGCCTGGCAGTCTGAGTAACCAGTGTTACTACTTAGAAATGGAAACTCCCACACATAAAAAATCCAGTAGATTGGATACTAATAGAAAGATGATTGTGTAGTTTAAATAAAAGTGATATAAATACATATTCAAAATAATAAAACATCTAATTATTCTCCAATTTCTTAGATATAGAAAATATCCGAGAAAAAGAACACAAGGCGAGCTACCTATTTTGTGTAGCCAAGATGGCAACACTGGGAATGACGCGACACAGGCTACAGCTGAGCTGATATGTCATAGTTTGTTTATTTGAATTAGCACTACAAGTATTATTTTTCGATTATGTAATATGTTTTTAAAATCACTTGGCGTGCCAAGGGTTGCCGACCCCTGGTTTGTGGTTAAAGTTCACATATCTTTACTCCTCAACACATTTTTCAGTTAGATTCGACTTTTCTCACTGTACTTTTATAATTTTTGTTCCCTTTTTTTTCTTGTTAACCAAATCTCATTACAGGTATCAGTTTAGTGCTTTAATTCACTTCTTTCTACCTATTATCTCTGTTTCCCATCTTCCACACTCCTCCTGCCTGTGGTTGTCTCTCCCCAGTTTCTAATAATGTATCTGGCTTATTATGTAAAAAGAAAATTAAGTATTACCTCCTCTTTGTTACTCCATTCATTTCATAACTTGTGTCTATTGTAATACTTGTACTGTCCACTGTTAAGGGGCCTCTTGCACTCCAGCCAACAGTGTTAAAGGTCTCCTGGGTCTAAACCTAAAGGCTTTTTGTGACTGTACGAACTGCTTGCCTAAGGGGACCCTGTGCACAAGGGATTAATGTTTATACAAATATATGTTGATTCCTGGGTGAATTTTTTTTATAATGCTATAAGAATTTTATATTCTCAGAGACATCAATAAAAAAAGAGACGACTACTTAGCCTGGGGAGAATACTTCATGGCCATGGCATTTTTATCTGCTCTCCGCAGTAAAGACCCTTCAACTCAGGCAGGTGTTCTGTTTGTGTGTTTTGAACCAGTTATGGTGTTCTGTAGAGATCTTGTTAAACATTCTTGATAAACTTGTATTGCTTACCATCTTTAGAAGTGCTCTATGTGTTCAATGAAGGTCTATCAAGATGGTGGAATACATTAGAGCAAATAGCCAAACTGGCCACCCAAATTTATGAAATTTGGAGGTAATATATTTATATATTAATATCTATTTAATTAACAGACTTAATATTGTATTTAGATTTGAAAGAAAATATTCTACCAGATGTCTCTATACTGTATCACATCTTATAGAGTTCTTTCTTGCAGGTAGGAGCATGTATAGTGAACAGTGAGAGCAAGATTGTTGGTATTGGCTACAATGGTATGCCTAGAGGTTGCAGTGATGATAAGTTACCCTGGGGTAAAAGCAGCTTTGACCCACTTAAAACAAAGTATATGTATGGTAAGTATTCTTGTCAAGTTTCTTACTGTGTGCAGTAAATTTTGCTCTGCATTTCAAGTCACATGGCAGCAGGATCTATCATTAGACAACACATTATGCTTCCAATATCTTCCCAGGCAGTAGTACCTCCCTGTTTGATAGCTGCTTAGTGGTCCAGTTACCCATCAGTTATCATGATGGATGCATGTCCTTTGATGTTTCGTGACGCGCATCCCCCCTCCCCCCCCCCCCGCACACCCTTGACAGTAGTACTATTCATCAGAAGTTGATTGATTTGAGGTCGTGGGTGCCTTGGTGGCCATGGACGTAAGGGACCATGCGCACGCTAGCCATAATAATACTCTAAGTGACTCTACTAATTTTATGCCTGAAACATCAGTTTTCAACCATGTTTTTTTGGCCCAAATATGCCCTTGTAGGAGGTCCAGCAGGTCTTACAATACCCGGGGCATCAGGGTTAATCACCCTGTCAGAGTCATTTACCGCAGATAACACTTACCAGTATATACAACGGTGGGCGGACATTTCGTAACTGGTCTGTTGAATACCATATAATACTGGGTATTTGATATAATTAAATGATAATGTCTTTATTTTGGAGGCGAAGAAGTCATGGTTAGGTTAAGTTTATACTGAATCGGTGACAAAGTGTCTGATAACTACAGTATACCATATATCTTGAACAGAGCCCATGGAGACAATATTACACATTGCTGCCTCACACATGTCAGACTATGTTAATAGAATACTTTAACCTTAAGTACAGTAGCTTTCCTCCTCATATCCCATAGTGCTCTCTGATCCATCTTATCATATGCTGTCTCCAGACCCATAAATGCTCCATACCATTTTTTTTCAGTGTGATTTATGACATATTTGTATATATTCTTTCCATTGTGCACCATTTTATATTTATAAATGAGAATTTCAAGCAGAATTTGATCCAGAATTATGTTTGTCTTATGAAACTTTTACATTTTAGTTTGCCATGCAGAAGTGAATGCCATCATGAACAAGAATTGTGCAGATGTTGCAGGATGCACAATCTATGTTGCATTGTTTCCTTGCAATGAATGTGCCAAGGTTATCATCCAGTCTGGGATCAAGAAAGTGATATATTTCTCAGACAAATATAAAGGAAAACCTTCAACAATAGCTTCTAAGAAGATGTTAGATTTAGCCAAGATCACTTACTGGTAAGGCCAATATTTTTTCATTCACAAAACAAATATTGTACAGTACAGTATATAGGAACATTCATCTTACAGTTTCTTAGTTCTGATATGCGGTAGTCACTGCCATAATAGAATTAGGAGAGTGAATTCAGTTCTGTAATGTATGATGAATTTTAAATACCAGTTATTTACCTTCTTAGATGGACCACATACTGTATTTACCCTGTACAGGTGCTCCTCTGCTTAAGAATGTTCAACTTACAAACTTTCAGAGATACAAACATCATCACTGAGGGGGGTTACCTGCCAGAACAGGTGTTTAATGTGGATGAGACTGGATCATTTTGAGAAAAATTCCAGATAGAACAAACATTACCTAAGAGGAGAAGGGTGAGCCAGGTTTTAAGGCTGTATTAAAGGGTATAGCTGTACTAAATATCCATAATCTTTTCATTTTTTACAATATGTTTGGTATCTACAAGAGTAAAAGTTGGATTTACAAACAAGCCTCAGGAACATAACTCGTTCGTAAGTAGAGGAGCACCTGTACTTATTTCAGTCATACCACGTAGTCATTATTTTGACTGATATCAAACACATATCTGTTATAGAAAACTCTCCCCTTATTCTGTTACAACTCATTTAAGGACGACACAATCAAAACATTCTTTATCAAGTGTTCACTGTGTGTATTAATATCAAATGGTCCTATAATTTTCAGATATTTTATTTTCTTGATCGTAAATGATTGTTAAAGAACACAGTAGCATATTATTACTGTACGGTACTTGCTACCTTTTACTTATTACTGCAATATATTTTTTCCAGTCAGTACAACTTGCCGTGCAGAAAAGTCATCATAGACTTTGAGGCCATTGACTGGAACATTGCCTCACAGCTGCCACCAAGTTCTTGAAGATGCACATTTTTTCATGAGACTTGAAGGAATATGTAGTTATATAATTGTATCCAGTAAAAAGCTTTTATACTGTAAGCTTGAACACAAGTCCTGTACAGCAAAATGTTTTACCAGTGGTATACAGTGCAGTATACTCATCCTTATATTCAGCGAAGCTGCATACAATATTTTTTAGTAGTTTTTTTTTATTTGATGATGAAAAGAAAAAATTGATTTATCTTTGGTTTTATAATTTAAGTAGTATTTCCATTTACATCTGATTTTCATTTACCTGTTATCACTTGATGATGGTGACAGAAAGGATTGATACCATACATGTAATACAGTAGACCCCTGGTAGAGAGCTTCCCTGTAGAGTATAATTATGTCAGTGTTGGCTTCAAATTTACACCAAAATTTGAGAGAAAATGGGGGAATCTGTTAAAATACAATACATATTGTAGGCCCTTGATAGTGAATGAGGATCACTTGTTCTTTAGTACTGTATAGCAACCCCTATTGAAGTTAACTTCTTATGGGAATTACTGTATAGGGTAGCATTGCTAAACCCAATATATATACTGAATATATGTTGGTGTCCACCTCAGCAGACTTACCAATACAAAGTCATGATAAGTTCTCACCACACTCCCCAAGGCTTCTTTAGTCTCTACTGGATACTGGCTGACAATAGAAAGAAGTGCTGGCAATGGCAGAAACCACATAAATACAGTACTGTACTGCTGAATCAGCACAAGACCTGCACACTTCTAGTACATAAGATGTTTGTCATTCACAGATAAGGAGTACAGTAATTCACCATTCACAATATACTGTACAGTATTCACAACTCAAGAAATATTGGAAGACAAAGACCTCAAATTTTCAGCCAGAGAATTTTGTGATGCCATCAAGTGTGAGCACCTTAATTAAGTCCAGACTTGACCAACACTGGTACATTCAAGAGCTCATACATACCAGTACTGTAACAGTGTGTCAGAGTTTTTCAATCATCCTACTCTATATCCCCTTTATACTGTACTGTGCTGACAATATTTGCATAACTATATAAATAAAACAAACACTTTATAGGCAAAAAAACTACGAAAGAAATGAAATCCAATTTCTGAAAATACAGCTACGTTTTAGAGTTTTAGAAGACTTGAAAAATAACACCTACTGGTACATTTTAATATTACAGTGTACAGTATAACATCAGTACAGTAACAAGACAATCAGGTATGGCATACCTGGCCATGCTATTGTCACTGATACAGTACACTTCAACACAAAAAAGTAGCATAGCTTGCACTGCACTTGATTGCATTCTCTTATCCAACTGTAAAGTTAGGTATACCCATTTACAGTTGGGTGAAATGGGTGTGAACCAGCAACCCATTGGGACAGCAGGCAAATCAGCCTCTGCTCTTTATATACACATACATACACCACCCTCTGAGGCAGGGAGATTAAAATAACTTGGTTCAAAATGCTGTAATTTGGGTAAAAAAATCGCCATATATTTTAAAAAATATACAAATGCATATACACGCGACGCCACCACATATACTTGTAATCTGGTGAAAGTTGTACAGCAATCTGGCAACAAGTGTGGAAGTAATTACTGATAATGGGTGTACCAGGTGAAACACGGACGTAAATTCATAAGTACAGTACAGTATATGGGTGGATGGAGACATGCATGTCAAACCATAATGGGATGTACATATCAGCCATCCATATACACCATTTGCACCAAGTTGTGCAGAATTCTGATAAAAACTGGTGGATGAGTTGATTTTATAAACTTGCAATTGTATACCTGTACACACACACACACACACAGAAAACATGTAAGTCACCAATATTTTTGTCTATATAAGTTGATGACACAATTTTAAAAACAAACAGATAGCACACATAATGCCTTTGAGATATTCACTTCACCATGAATATCAAGCTTGTAAACCAGACCCATATTGACAGACATAAACTCTTACTGAGTGCATTTTCAATGTCCAAAAAGTTACTCTTTTTCAACAGTATATGGTGAAGATTGAGATTACAGAGAGCATACAAACACAGAGACACCTGTACACCCCAGTACAAACAGAAGTGAAAACTTATCTGCTGTGCAATGTCTGATATAGTATCAACTCACAACATTGATTGGATTGAAAATTATGGCCATCAAGCTTGAACCATGAATGGTAGGCGAGGCTTGAGGCCGTCTTGGTGCCAGCAGCAGAGGGAAGCCAACCTTGCTCCCTGGTTGAGCTCCTCACATCAGCAGTAACCGCAGCCGAGGGGCCCGTCAAGCCAACTGGAAAAAATTTTCACCGTATTTTAAGGGTGTCCGGGAAGCCCTTGCTAATGCTGCTCGTGTTTTACCCCAGAAATGGCCTCGCTCTAATGCAATCTGGAGTGAGTTGTAAGACTTCGAGGCAGAGCCAAGAAGCCCTATAGCAGTAAAGGTAGGTGAGCTTACCGACGCCAAGAACACCCTTAACAGCTTCTAATTAGATCACATTTCTTGACAAGATTACCGCAACAAGGGGAGAAGAATGGTTAACCTCGTTAAAGAAGGCGTAAGGGCGGCTTCCACAGTACCGTGCTTAAATTCTTCGTGGTCATAATTTACAAACAGTATTAGCATTAATTTATACAAGTGAATATGAGTATACAAAAATATGTATGATAAACCGTTAAAGGATATACAAAAATATACACACTTAGTGATAATTCTGTAGCTGTGTGTGGCACCTCTGAGGAGTAATTAGTATCCCACTATTTAATGTCTTCGTTCTTATTTTTTGTTTCCAGTTATATTTTTTCGATTTCCCTCTCACTTTTTTTTACCTGTATTAAATGGTTTATTGCATCAAACTTAAATCATGTCCAAATAAGAATGATATATTATACATAAAATTGTAACCAAATTTAACCATATATCATGAATTAAAAAAAAAAATAAAGGTGCAGAACAACTAGAATTATTCAACAATTAAGTTCTCTCGATTATCCAAGTATAGTATAGACTAAAGGCCTTGGGACTGACAATGCTTCAGACAATACACAACAGGGCAAACCTCAACGAAGACATTCAAAATTCTCAAAAGGAATGGACAAGACAAATATACATACACAAACGTATTTCTATGAAACAGTCTTGCAGCTTGACACCGTGCAAGCAAGGACAGAACTGAGTTTCCAAATAGCTCTGAAGAAGACTATCTTGAACAATAGAGGGCCCATGTAAAAGCTATTGACTTCTTTCTCCTCCGCCATTACCACCACTGATAAGTAAATTAGGTAACTACAATTTACTAATTACTAAAGGTGTAAGATTTTTATTTACTTGTCTTAACTTTTGATGTTTGTAGTTTCACATCGATTCAAACTAATAGTAGTATTAGTGGTCGTTTCTTTTCTTTAGATATAAAATATACAGTAATAACAAAATAAAAAAAAAAACTAACTAAACACAGGATAAACAAGAGCAGCGGAGATGAACCTAACTCTGATCTACCTGACCCCCTCGCCTCCCTCCTTCATCTCTTACCCCCAACATAGCCAGGTCCTCCACCCAGAGAATTAAGACACAATTAAATATATTCTCGCTTGTTTTATAAGTTTAGTGAATTTCCTATTGTTGTGTATATAATTAGGTATCGGATAGGATGACAGAATCAACTTCTTGCAGGGTCCAACGTAGGTAGAAGGTAGCAGACAGCTACCAAACAGGGGGGTACTACCGCCTGGGAAGATATTGGAAGCATAATGTATTGTCTAATGGTAGACCCTGCTGCCATATGGCATCACGAATATTGTGACCAAGTCCCAGGTTGCTGATCTGACTTTCTGCCTCATTTACACACAATTGCAGGGTTTCAATTGTTTCTCTTACAATTGACAACACATCATACTGTACTTATAGCGTTTCTCACTATTGATTTTTTTTATTATCATTATTACAGTGTTGTTATTGTTATTATTATTTTATTTTACTTTTTATTATAAATTTTATTTACTATGAATTACTGTACAAGTATTATTATTATTATTATTATTATTATTATTATTAAATTTTTGCCCCCCAGGCCCCGATGTGGGTCAGTGACCTGTGCCCGGGTGGGCTAATCTCCTTAAAAAAAAAAAAAAAATACTGTCACAAACGTAAGCTAACATCAATAAAGTTGATACAATTATAACACAGAAAAGAAAGTGCAACTATCAGTGTATAACATGAGCTAACAGAGACATATATGTACGGAATCACTCCACAAAGAATAATACAATGAAACATACAAACAAAACAATGAGACATGTTTGAAACCGAAAATAACACCTATAATCCAGGTATTAATGATAAATCAGATTGCATGGATTAGAGTTAGATATCAAGGTGGTGAACAGTGCCGGATTTAGACCTGTGGAGGCCCATGGGCAGCCTCTTTGTGGAGGCCCCCCTCATTATAACTACCCAAGAGGGTGGGGTGGCGAGTGAAGCGAGCCTAAACATCTGGGAGTTTCGGGGGGCGCTGTAAGCCCCCCGGGAAAATTTTGAAATTTGAACACAGCAGCGACGACTTCACTCAACAAGCACACATGACAATTCTCTCTCTCATTTTACATCTGCAAGACAAGTTTGTCTACTCGTGGGAAGTTCACGAATCATGGGCGACGCAAGTCTCCTCTTTAATCGACAGACACATGACAACCAATGTGTAGATACTACACGACCCAAACCCCTCCAACCGACTGTCAACAAACACAGCGCCCTGATGGCATTCGTAATGGAAGTGATAATGAAATTTTTTTTTTTTTTAATCTCAATTTCGTTATTCCATGTAGTTCATTTTTAATCAATATATGTTTGTGGAATTCTAAATATATTATTAGCAACACAAACAATAGCATTAATTAAAAATATACGGTTCATAGGAAAACCAGGTATTCATGAATTTCAAGGAGTAGCTAGCCTAATTTCTATCACGCTTCTTGCTGAAAATAGTTTTACGTGATGGAATAGATAAACATGAATTTTAAAGAATGAAAATAAAAATAATCCAAATGAATAAACAAATAAATAAAATATTGTAATATGTGGAGGCCCCTGGGCAGCTGCCCACTTAGCCCACTCTTGAATCCGGCCCTGGTGAACGGACAGGTACGGTGCAGGTGTCTCAAACAGGTGTTACAGGCAGCAGCAAGTGTGTGGAGTATTAGGGGAAGGGGGGGGGGGTTGTATTACTCACCTAAGTGACCTAGTGA